ATATATATATTATACATATCATGAATTTGAAAATAAAATATATATATATATATTTTTTTTATTTTCAAATTCATGATTGTAGGATTTTAGTATTAACTATTTTATTAACTATTAACTATTTTATTTTCATATTAATTTTATCAAAGACATGAAGAATTGGTTTCTAAAAAATTGAAATTTTTTTCGAATAATAGACTATATCTGTGTTGGAATTATTACTGATCAGTACTCATCGTACATTTTTCATTGCAGACTGCACGGGATGTGCAAACAAGTTGTCTCATAAAAAATATCAAAGCAACATTGTTAATAATTGCTCAAAGATTTTCTCATGGGCTATTTGACACTAGAATTACAAATAAGTTGATATGGCGGTATCAGATATGAAATCCATTCTGTTTGCATTTGTAATTATTATGTTTGCATTTTCAGAAAGAAAATCGCAATTCTTACAAGACAAGTCGTTTCTTGAAGAAAATATTTTAAATTTTTTCTTCCCTAAAGACCCTGGTTTAATAAAAGTAAGAAAAATTAATAAAATTGAAGGAGTGACTGACATAAGAATATTGGATTTTGTAAGTAAAAAATTATTTATAATTAAATGATTTTAAATTTTATATTAACTTGAATTTATTTTTACTAATTACAAAATAAATATAGATTAAGTTAGATAACTTTCCCAACAAAATGGATGGAAATGGATTAAAATTGATAGAAATGGATTCATGTGATCAAATCCAAATTCTTTTTCAATCCATTTCAATCCAATTAAAGTTTAAAAATTCTTTGAATCCAGTTTAATCCATAAAGTAGGGTTGAAACTTTGAATATATAGACAATGTCTATGTACTCAAAGGATTGAAACTATGAAATTTTTAGGCTGTTAATCCAAAAAACATTACACAGGTCATGTCAATCCATTTTAATCTATGAAACAATGTGCTTCCTATTCTTTCAATTCAAAATGTATTAAAGTGAATTAAAATGGATAGAAGTTTTCAATTCATTTTAATTTATTTTCGGATGTTGGATGGTATCTTAAATTGTCATTATTATAAATATTAAAATCTTTTTTTGCGAATATTGTTTAAACATTTTTTTAATAAATATTTGAAGTAAATCGAAATCAGAAATGAAATGATGATACTCCATCGTTACATGTGCTATTCCTTTATATAGATTGGTTTAGTAGAACAGTATGGTTATCCCGCTGAAGAGCATAATGTCACAACAGAAGATGGTTATAATTTAAAAATACACAGAATATCAGGAAGTCTATCGGATAATGAAAGGAAAAAGGAAATTGTGTTCATGCAACATGGTTTTTTGGCTTCATCTCATTGTTGGATACTACAGGGTCCTGATAAAGATCTTGGTATGTATTTATTGTGCACATATGTATGTATGTGACACACAAACACACACAATGTGATTTTAACATAACGTGTACTCGTTTTAACGTGTACTCGTACACGTGTAAAACTATATCGTATTGTTTTTACAAGAAGAATTTTATTTTCAATTTTTTTAACTCAAATATTATTAATACTTTAATGTAGTATTGTGTTGATGTAAATTATTGAAAATAAAAAAATTTTTTCATTAAATTACATGTAAATAAATAATGGTATATTGGTTACTTTTTAATTTAAAATGGAATTAAATAGAATTTTAAATTTAATTACTAAAACTATACATATACTAAAACTACACGTATATATATTAAAATATTCTAATTTTTAAAGTATAACGAGGAATATTAACGCTTAGAAAAAAATTGGTTCTAAATTTGAGAAAAAATAATGCTATATTTCATAAATTTTGGCATATTCTGCATGTTGTGCACTTATATCAGGATATTATTACAGATATTAAAGTTGCACATATAGTCAATCAAGATCTCTATTTTTTTTAATTTAATTAAATAAATTCAATAAATCATTTCTAAACTTTCGCACAGGCCATTTACCTACGGATCCGAAAAACGTAGTAATCGGACGATATGTCTAATCTCCCCAATAATATAAGTTTCGTACAAGTTTCTAATTATTATTAAAATATTATTGGAGAGATTAGATATATCATTCAACTGTTACGTTTTTTGGATTCACAAATAAACGACCTGTAATTGCGAACGAGAGTTTAGAAACGATTTATTAAATTTATTTAATTAAATTTAAAAAAAGAATAGGCGTAGGCCTAAGATTTTGCCCAGCTATATATGCCACGAATCTTTATCGGATTATATATATATTATTATTTGTATCATCATCATCATCTTGTCATCATATATTGTAGCATTTTTACTAGCAGATCAAGGATATGATATATGGATTGGAAATATGAGAGGAAACACATATTGTAGATCGCATGTGAATATGACGACATATGAACGCAAATTTTGGCAATACAGGTAGATGTTATGGCCAAAAAAAGAGGAGAGCAGATAAGTCTTTTTAAATATAATATCATGTAATTTTTGATTTTTAGTTTTCACGAAGTAGGAACGCGAGATCTGCCGGCGATGTTCAATTACATTTTTAATTATACAAAACAAAAAGATTTATATTATATCGGTCATTCTATGGGAACGACTTCATTATTCACTCTTTTGTCAATGAAACCGGAATACAATACAAAAATAAAAATGGCTATTTGTCTGGCTCCAGTTGTTGTTAATATTAAAGAAACTTCTACGTTTAATGTTTTTAATCTTTCTCCAGTAATAAAGGTAAATATCAAAATCTAGCTTTCATTTCAAGCAATAATTTTTAAGATATAATCGAAGATTAAACAGTCATCAGTTTTGTGCGTTATGTATTGAAAATATTCGTAATATTAATATTATAGTACATAAGTTAATATTTTAATGTTTATTTAATACATTCCAGGAAGTTTTAGAAAAGCGGGAAATATATGATTTGTTCCCACAATCTTTAGCCACTGTTACGATAGCAAGAACGTTATGTAATTATAATGCGATGACTCAGTTTATTTGCATTACTATACTATTTTTACTGTTCGGTTCTGATCCAGCGCAACTTAATACCGTAAGTTATATAAAAGGACACAGTACCATAAATAATATAATGTATAACGTTTGTAAACAGCTTTCATAATTTTATATTAACGAATTTGTTCATTCTTCATAATTATCATTTACTTCAACTATAACGATGTTATTCACTTCTTTTTTGTAATTAAATACTCCGACTTTGTTATCTTTATTAATTACATTTATTATAGATACTCCTACCAAAGATATTTGCTCATTTTCCAGCTGGTGGTTCTCTACACACATTTGATCATTATTATCAAAATTTTCATGCAGGTGAATATTTCCTTTCATATAAAATATTTTAATTGATATATATTGTTACGGTAAAATATTTCCATTGATAAAGGGTAAAACATTATTGAGAAATTTCAATTAATATTTTTCTGCAAATAATTTCACAATTGTGTGCGTATGTATAAATATATATTATTTAATATCTTTGACCTTCTTTCTTCAAATATTAAACTTCTAAATTTTTTATATATAGATCATATTTATATAGATATACAATTAATATAAAATTATAGGTGATTTTCGAAGCTATGATTACGGAATAACTGAAAATTATGAACGATATAAACAGAAAATACCTCCAAGTTACGATGTCGAAAAGATTACAGCTCCGATAATTTTATTTTATGCTGCTAATGATGTACTTGCTACGGAAAAGGTAATAACAATTCTTATAATTTTTGGTTGCCTGATAGAGAAATAAAAAGCAAAATTTAACATACTTATAATAAAACAATGATTATATAATTGTTAACAACATGAAACACACAATCTAATTGAGTATTATTCAAAATAAAAAGGAAAACAGTTACTTTACATTGGTCGGAGATGACTTATTTTCATACGATTAAATTATTTCATTAGTAATAATGTTTTTTCTTTATATTTTTTATTTTCAGAATACGTTGGAACTTAGTAAACGACTGCCAAACGTTTTACTAATTGAGAAAGTCCCATATAAATTTTTTAATCATATAGATTTCCTTTGGGCAATTGATGCAAAAACTCTTTTATATGACCATATATTAGAATTGATACGAAAGTTTAATGCTAAACAAAATATACGAAATAAATCTACTCAATGAATAGAAAATCCTAAGATCTTCACGTTTTGAAATTACTTAAAGTAGTAAAAAAATGTTCATGCAAATAATGCATTGACGTAACTTCGATTGATTTTGACATCTTTATATCTTTATATATATTAAATGCATTATTACAAATATTTATGCTTAATTATTACAAATATATGTTTACATTACGATTACTATGAATCACAAAAAAAAAGGATAAATCAGAGAGAGAGAGAGAGAGAGAGAGAGAGAGAGAGAGAGAGAGAGAGAGAGAGAGAGAGAGAGAGAGAGAGAGAGAGAGAGAGAGAGAGAGAGAGAGAGAGAGAGAGAGAGAGAGAGAGAGAGAGAGAGAGAGAGAGAGAGAGAGAGAGAGAGAGAGAGAGAGAGAGAGAGAGAGAGAGAGAGAGAAGACGAAAGAGTTAAAAGAATAGTCGGACAGAAGCGAGAGTGCAAGAACGAAGAGAGAAAGAGAGATAGGAAGAAAAGAGAAAAAGATAAGGATGAGAAGAGACCTATCAGACCATGTGGCAGGCGCAAACGGTGTGAGTAATGGCGTCGACCGATCGCTCCCAGCTCTAAAACACGAACGCGCCAGCCGCCTGTCTTCCTCTCTACCTCGCGCGAACGCGTATAGTAATAACGAGCCGTCTATCATCGTCGGAATCATTATCATCGCTGAATCCGCGGTCCTCGTTCTTCTTCTGCCGCTTGGCCAGCTTCCCGTCTTCCGTCTCTACTCTGTCAGGGACGGATCTGTATATGAAGATTTGACGAGACTCAAGCTTCGAATCTCAAAGCGTTGAGACGCATTGCGGAACAATTTCGCGCGTTTTCCGAAATGTATTTACCGGTACTTTTGAAAAAGTCAGAAATAATAGTTGAAAGAAAAAGGAGTTGAAAACTGAAGCTGTGATTTTGTTGACAGGAAAACGAACGTGCAATGATCTTTGATTGCGATTTTATGTGTAAACTAAAATTAATTTAAAATTCAAAATGCAAATATGACGAATTAAAATAATTTATCCGCGTTATGAATTAGAAATATAATCATTCTTTAGTTATTTGTTAACACATAACATAAAAAAAAGAGAGATACATTTTCTTTAATATCTCTTTATTTATTTCGTGAATCTTTAAGAATTTTCAGAAAATCAGCTTCGAGCGATAAAAGATTATTATCCGTTCCCTATATATCGCTTTCCTATCTTCAACAACTTTTCAACAACTGCAACGAGATGCAACGGGAGATAAAGAGAAAAGGTGCAAAGAAGAGTGGCGGGAAGGGGGGAGAGGTTTAATGACAAAATTATACCGAAAGCACACAGCTTCGTCGATGTCCGTGAAGAAGATATAATACTTTCATCTTATCTCGCGCGCGTGTTACGGTGATGAAGACGGTCGGTCGTGAATTCGAGGGGTGATCGCGTCGCGAAAAATGTTGCGTTAATCGTAAATTACATCGCACGGTTTCGCGCGTGCGAGAAAAATTGTTTGCGCGCGCGTGTTGACGTGATGACCAGCGATTACGATTCAAAATAGTGATAAACGAATATTCATTACGTGCCGTAATGAATATTCCAAGTTATTAAAATATTGCTATCTGAATTTCGACTATACGCCAAGTCTGTACATTTCTTATATTGATAGCCCTCAATGTGATTGCTACTTTTAATTATTATTTGTTCGTTTATTAATTATATTTGCTCGTTTGGGATAATACTTTTTACGGACACGATAAAAACAAGATTAACGCTCAAATACACGCTGCGTATAAACGAAACTAGATATATAGAACTCTTTGGTGAACAAGCTACTTTACATATTACTTCTACTTTAAATGTGTGCGATTGTTACATGCAAACCTTTATAATTGAAAATTCACTTAATCTTACTTATTATCTTAAAATTCACTTAATTATTACGAAGTGATAGGTCCTATCTCACGCAACATAGATTAGTATGGACGTGTCAAGAATGAGTTCTGAAATAATAGCGATATGATCGATGATGGTGCAATAATAATTGATGCATCGTGCTAACTGGTTGTCATTTAGCTTGGTTTTTCATTTAGTCTTATTAGGAAAATTGATTCAATTTCATATCTTATGGTTAACAGTACGCTGTTACTTTTGTATATTATGGTAATGAAGATGGTTACTCTCGCTGGAAGATCGGAAGAGATCGATCTAAATCACTCGCTCATTAAAAAAAGAGAAAGAAAAAAGTGCGCAATAAATTGTATGTACGATTAAAACCACTTGCTCGCACCTTCGTCTACACAGGATATAATCGCGAAGGATCGAAGAAGGCAGCTGATATATTACTGTAGTATATACAGGGTGATGCAAGGAGGCAAACAAAATTCTACATTTCATCTCAAACGCATTTCGCATTTCAGAAAAAAATTTTCCTCCACGATTTAATTATATCAAAATATTTATAAAAAAATTAGGATCAACTGCCAAAAGTGGTCATTCAACTCGTTTCCTTCCACTTTGTCGATAGATTTGTATCCGAGTAAGAGTTATTTGAGACAGCCTGTATGTGAACAGGTTACAAAAATACAAAGTAACTACTACGTGGTCGATTATCCGTGTCGCGATTGCTCATCATGAGACCGATTACATGTCTTTCGAGATTGGAGGGAGACAAAATTAAATTGATAGGCTGCGGTGTTCTCGCGAAATGATACTTTTTCTACATCTCGATCCATCAGGGAAAGCCGAGATAGGAGTAGCAATATTTTATCGATATCAACTTGTTAATCGTGTAACCTGATGACCTAATCTAATCATGCATTCAAATTTTGCTTATAGAGTCGGGGATGCGACACGGCGATGAATGATACAATAAGTCAAAGGATAACATTATCATTGTTCACATCGTTATTCGTCCAGGTCTGATCGGTCTTCGTCGCTTTTTTCCTGCTTCGCAACATTGCAGATAAATATTCATCGGGCACGACGGTGGTGGACAGATTTGACGATAAGATGAAACGAGTTTAATCGTCGGAGTATATAACGAGAGACTTACCACGAGTATGACTTCGACAAGTGCATTTTTGATGACGGAATTCAATTTTATCGCCAAATGAATCGGAGTAACGACGATCATTATAACTCCATCGGCGCGCGAGCGCGCGCACGCGCGATATCAATCTAATGGCGTAAGTAATTGGAGACGATAAGTAAACTGCACCGATTCGCTGTAATTTCGGTTGATTAAATTTTGTTCCCAAGCGAAAAAGACGCACCTCGCGAATATGTCCCGGAGCTTCTCGGGAAGCTTCATGCGCGAGCGCATGTCAAATCGCGATATTGTGAAGAAAATTGCGCGAGAGGAACAAAGGAGGAATGATTCGCCTGTAGGGATCGTCATTGGCCATGTTTGAGCAGCCGCGCCGCGCCGCGGCACCTCATTATTCCTGCTCCTTGCTCGGCTGCCGTTCAAAGAGCTTGGAACAATAACGTGATATGATCTTGACACAGGCAATAAACTATACTATTCCATTATTACATTTTTATGCGCTTCAGCGTTCCAGCGGGGCATTCTTGCCAATTG